TGCTCCCTCTCTCGGCTGTTTCTGGCCTCCCCGGTCAAGTATTGGCCCCCTCTGATGTCCCGGATTTGCCCCGGCCTTCATCTCACACTTTCCTCAGTGGCCTTCCTCACGATCAGGACGGGGACATTTTGCTGGCAGCCGTAGCAGGAGCAAGTACACGGCTGTCAGACGCCTCTCGGTGGCTGCTTCTTTTGCGTGCTCTTTGATTCCCGGCCCACTGAGCAGGAGCGGATGGCCGTCGAAATGGGTGGACTGGTTGCCCGTGCAATGGTCAAACTTTTGGGAGCACAGTAATTAGCTGCTGCTCGTACGTCTAGCTCAATTTTCCGTAAAATATGACGTTTTAGCCTGAAAATGAGATGCAAGAAGCTTTTGCACGGAATTAGGGACAGTGGGCCGGGAAGTCTTCGGGGAGGACGGGGAGGGGGGGAAGGGGGCTGGGAATTAATTGCTTCTGCAATCACGTATTTCCGCAGGCTCTGTTTGTTGTCCGTGTACTGTCTTTTTTTCATTTGCGGTGCATTGCATGAGATGCATGTCGGCCTGTTGATGTAATTGTTGTTATCGTCAGCGGTTGCAGCATGCCAAGAATCGAATATGAGCCGAAGCTGGACTTCAAGGACGTCCTTTTGCGGCCCAAGCGGTCCACTTTGAAGAGTCGAGCCGATGTTGACCTTGTCAGAGAGTAAGTTCTCCACTGATTACCGCAATCTACGCCGATTATCGGCCATTACAATACCTTGTCCGTCCTGTATTACCGCACTCTGTCGTTTTGTTGGGATTGCGTGCAGTGGCACTTTGCTTGTCTCTCTGACAGGGATTTCCCGCATCAAAAGATATCGCATTCGAAAATTCTGTTTTTTTTCAACGCCTATTTCTTACTGCCGGCCGATATATTTTTTTTAAAATATTAATATTTTATATTTAATTTCACAGGCAGTAAAATAGCTAGAGGAGTTACTGGGGACGGCGCTCAGCACAAATCGTTGAGTGTGCAAGCAAGCCTTGCCAGTTGTATCGGTCGGGTGGGCAGTGAGCCGATAACCCAAAAAGAAACGTCACTGTCACGAGAAGGGTGGTGCAAAAATGAGTCAAAACAACCGCGAGATGAGAAAGAAAAAGGAGGAAATGGCGTGGCTGTCGGCTATGCTACTGGGAAGCACTGCGACTATGATTTAGTGGTGAACCAAAGTGGCTGTTTCAAGTATCAGGTAAGTACTTTCGTGATGCAAAAAGAAGCGGTCTAGCAGGCCGCCCATCAGGCAGAGCAGCTTTGCGAATTAGATAAAGCAGCTTCAAAATGCTCGCAGTTTCGTTTTTGATGCCTGTATTTTATTTTTTTAATGTCTGTGATGTTTTTTTACTTGCACACGATTCCAGCAACATGGCTAACATGGGGTTGGAATTCTTGTTACTTCCCGTTGAGGATGAATTTCATAAGAGTGATCCCGTAGACACCTGTTAGAGCCTGGCAGGACTTTGTCCAGTGTGGGGGAATATCTCGGCAACATCACTGACCTAAAATAGGAGAATAAAAGGTATACCCTGTTGGCCGTGTGAATTCTAAAAACTCTGTATTTTTTCCAGCGTTTTTGTTAGTTTAACAAAACGTACGTGCAGCATCATTTTTTTTTTGTTTCAGATTTGTGTTTCGGAATTCGAAGAAGCAATATGTTGGCATTCCAGTGGTTGCATCAAATATGGATACCGTTGGAACGTTTGAAATGGCCGAAGCACTAGCCAAACACAGGCTTTTCACAACGATTCACAAGCATTACACCATTGAACAGTGGCAAGAATTTGTTACCAAGATAGAATTGAATCCTAGCGTAAGCATTCATGCAAATCGTTTCGGTTTTTTGGCAGAACACTCGTCTCAGTAGCATCGAGGCTGCGCGGTCCGTGATTACTAGCTACGCGATAAAATGAAACTCAAAATGACAGCTTACCACAAGAAATGCTCCTCATGAATTTTCTCTTATTTCTTATTTAATAGCTGTCTGGGTTCTCGGTATAGGGCTGCCAATCTTACTGACATACGAGTGTATGCTGAAACAGGTATTCCAGATCCAATGTTTTTATTTAGATCTTGAAACGGCTGCACATGGCGAGTGATCAACGACCATCATGACCCTGCAGTTGTTGCTGGCCTTGTTTAGTACAGACCAATTCAGTGCCCCAGTGCCTTTTTACCAGAGCCAGTGCCTTTTTACCAAGGCCTTTTTACCTCTTCGGTCATAATTTCTTAGAGATAAGCTTTGCTAGCTAGCCAAAGGCACCTGGATTAGGGAACCCAGGCTGGAACGCACCAGGCGGGTCGGCGCGATCATGCGTTCTTGCACTCTTCGTGCCGTAGCAAGTTCACAACAAATTACAGTAGCTAACCCTGTGACGTACTGTCCTCGAAGTTCGGGAAGTCAGTTGTGCAGCTGTGTGGTATGACAGTTGTAGATGTCGAGTTCAGTGACCCGACAAGTGAAAAGTTGCTGGTCCGCAAAAAAGGCTGCACTAGAAGA